ACAAAAGATTTATCTCATAATCATAGACTTATATTTTTTTTTTAAACAAAATGTCGGTGACTGTTTGATGTTGGGTTTAATTGTTTTATCTTAGAACTTTCTTGAATGAACACAATCGATGGAAATAAAGCAAGTAAAAATGAAAGCAAAACGATTAATAAAAGGGAAAAAAAAACTTTTATTAATTTGGAAAGCTTTGGGTTACAAGAGACTGTTGAACAGTCTCTAAGACTAATCCTAATTTTATTCTAGCCTAAAACTACTTCTAAAATGTCAAAGTCGTGAATCTTTGATAGGTTTGATCGTATTGTCTCCTTGTAATTAATGCCCCTTTTATAGGCATCTTTACCTCGATGATTAATCTAGTTTTCTCCAGACGGTTTCTTCCTCAGCCTCTTCTTTGTCTCAACTGCTATTTTAAATTATTGGAGCACATTTGGTGCTGGTAATTACTGCATTTGCAAATTTTAAGATAAACATTTCATTCCTTCTGTTTTAGAGGCTATAACTATTCTTAAATCTAAACATACCACTTTGACTATGTCATTCATCACTTTTTCCATAAAAATGTAGAATTTGGTCCAAACAAATACCCAAGAATTTTCAATATAGTAGTGCTAGCTTAACGGAATTGTTCAGGGCCTGAATTTCATTAGTGTTTTTTTTTTGTTGGTTTTAAATTTGTTCATGCAATCGTAACAGAAAGCAAATTTATTTACATCAATGTATTCAGGCAATGTCATCTTGAAATGGTTGTTCTAGTGAGAGTGACATTCTAGGTTTCCATTTTTGCGAAGAACAAACAAGGAGTTTATCACAGAAATCAATGCTATTAGATCAGACCTTTCATCAATTTAGTGTGAATAAGCATTGTCTAAGATGATTTGTCACCATAGTTAGGCCACTTTCCCTTGATTACCTAATTGCTAGTCATCTTGATCATCGTGGACAAATACTCCATGCATGTGTTAATTTATTAAACCTGTAAATGTCTATATGTAATGATGTTAACTGCTTATCTGTCCAAACAACTACTCATTAATCTCTTAAGATAAAAATAATTCATCCTAATCATCTTTATCGTGGAGAAATATTCCATGCATGTTACAATTTATTGAACTTCTGGATGTAGATAAGCAAATAAAGATAAATTATTAGTCTACCATTTATCTCTTCTATGCTTCGTTATAGACAAGAATTTTATGGATTGACTACGATCATGTAAGGAAAGAATGAAACTTGCTATAGAGCTTGAGCAGTCAACCGAATTGTTCAACTCACATAATACAATGATCATTCCTATAAAGCCATGGTTCTTTGTAGGATTGACAAGGGTAACCACCAAAACGGGCAGGGAAGATATCCATGGTTTGATTTGGTGAGAACGACAATCGAAGAGGTCAACGTCACAATACCTCTGAAGGGTTTCAATCCTACTGCTCAATTAACCTTTTATAGCAACCTCTAAGCTGTGGACTGTCTAAACCAAAACGGTAACTTGACAAAACTTTAGGCCTACTGGTGAAGACTCTCATGAAGGTGATGACTCGAAGAAATTGCTGTATTTCGAAGGCATAAATAGCTGAAAGTTCTGGCACAGAAAATACTATTTTGTAGGGTATTAATGGTTTTGTATGATATAACTGAAGAAATTGTTGTATTTTTTGTGCTCTTTTCTGAATTTTCGGATTAATGTGACCCTAGTTTGATCCGAAACAAAGTAGCCTTTCTGCTTTTGGCGCTAAGATTAGTTAAATTAGAAACACATCATGATCTAAGTCCAATGTCAAGATGAGTTAAGTTTCAAATATAATGGTGCATTAATTTGACCACTGACAGCCTCATTTATAAACTTGGATACTAGGACTTGAATATTTTTTAAAATCTCATCCACAGATTCAGAAGAGCAGAATTAAAAGATTCAAAACAGATATATATATGAAGTAGATCATGACATATAAGTTTGGCAAGAAAGGGGCCACCACTATTTTTGGGTGGTGTGCCTATATCTACCACTATAAAAAACCCTAGTGGTTAACACTATATCGTATAGGCTGGACTATCAACAATAATATAATAAACAGAGGGCCTCTACTAGATGACTTACTGATGAGTGGAGTTGATAATTCTTCGACACAGTTGCCGAGGGGAATGTTTGTGGGTCCCACTCTTAACTAAAGAAGGGAATGCCAGTCATGCTAGCTTTTCTATGTCTTGATATGTGATAGAGAAACGAATGTGAAATGGAAGTAAAAGTAATGATCATTCATGGAAATGGGAAACAAGGTGATGAATGGGTACGAAGAACTGAGTGGACATAAAAAGATTATATGTAAATTCTGCAGCTTGAGTGGTCTACCATGTGATGTGAAGATATTGATCATGGGTCATACCTAGTTGTCTCCTGTACTGTTATTCTTCTCCAGATCCTAGTTAGTTGCTTCCTGAAGGTGCTTTAATGGTTGGAAGAATCTCAAGAGACACACTTGACGCTGACAATCCTGACCTGTTTGCCAAATGTAAAGAAAGAAAAAGAGAAAAGAAGCTTGCTGGAAAGTATTGAGAACCACTAGTGCAATGAGATTAAATAAGAAGTTACCAATCAAGTGATCAACCCACATAAGATGGTCTCTGTAAAATTGAAACAAACATATATAGCAAAGCCTTTTTAGCTCCTCACAAGCTTCAAACATCTCACCAACTCTTGCACCTAAATCTAGGAGCTTTATTTATGGCAAAATCAACATGAATTAAGACTTGCAGAATTGAGAAAAAGAACATCTTTAAGACGTACAATAGACACAAAACCAAGGTCTTGATGGTGCAAGCACAAGTAGTTTAAGAGCCATCTATCTCCAGATCGAGCCCAATAGAAAGATAAAGGTTCTATCTGTTAGTGTTGATCAAAACTCAAACAAGTCTCCCCCAACCTGGAAGAAAAGAAAAAAACAACACCACCTTCTTCTGTTTTTTTTTTACTAGACATGCAATTACCATGACCCTCCACCTAATACTCCATTCCAGTAAGCATTAGACTCTCCTTGCTCTCTATTTTGCTCAATTAATTCAGTTGTGGCTGAAACGGGCTTCAAATCCTCAAAAGGAAAGAGAAGTCTTGCACTAGTCTCTGGAACCCCTTGCAGACTTCCAAAACCACTTTCAAACCCATCTAATGAAAAGTTAAGGCTTGGTTTAAATTCTGGCAAACCCAGGCCAGATGAGTATATTGTACTCGAATCAGAAACCGACATCGGCATGAAAGAATTCAGTCCTCTTGAAGTAATTCCAAGCTTGAGAAGTTCCATGGTAGAGAGATGAGATGATGTTGATGAAGTATTAGGGTTTATATTGTTGTTACTGTAGGGTAACCCAATGAATTCAGAGAGGCTATTGTAATCACCAGAGGGCGGGTAAGCTAGGTTGAGGTCTTGGCCCTCGCGGATCTTAGGGTTTTGAGAAGCAGACTGAGAAATTCTTGGTGGGGCCAGATCATGATCAGCAAGCTTCTTTGATGAAGCTGGTGATGATGATGAAGTAGATCTCTTGTTCTTCCTTGAGCTTCCTCCAACTGGGACATTTCTCAGAGTCCCACCTTCAGTCCAGTACCTTCTACAAGTCTTGCAGAAGTACCTTGGCTGAGAGAGACTGTAATTGTTGTAGTAACAGAACTTGGTATGAGTTGAATTGCACCGCGGACAGTTCACAGCTTGTTCTTTTTGTGGCCTCGGCTTCCTCTCTACCATAGGCCTTGAGCCTTCCACTGGTTTCATCACTCCAATCCCCTGGGAAAAAAAGGAGGAAAGGAAGACCACAGAAAGACAAGAAAAAGGCCATGACTACATAGTCGAAACAAAGAATTTCTCATCCAAAGAATTTGTATTTGGATATAGAAAGAAAGCAGTAGCAGGCAAACAAGACAGAGATAACTAGGTAATTGCTTTACAGTTTGAAGATTACAACCAGCAATAAAACAAACTATATTAGCTTTTTTCCGGTCCTTTATTAGATGATGGAAAAAGAAAGGAAAAAGTGCAGTACTTTCAAGAAAAAATGAAAAATTTCAGACCATAGTTACATAAATTCAAAGATTAGTGGGTGCTGAACATCATCATCTCCTAGAAAAGTAGTAACCTTTGAGAATTTACCCATCAACAAGAAAAAAAATTCAAAACAATAAAAAAAAAAGTTCTAAATTAGCCTTGAAAATCCCAACTAAAGGAAGAAGATATCATGATTTGCTCGAGAGAAAACATGGTTTCTTTACCTGTGGCCACTGACCAGTATCCATAGATCGAGAGGCAGTAAAGGAAAAGCAAAAGCTACCGAGTCTTCAAAAGAGAGGAAAACAACCCACTTTCCTCCAACTGGTCCTAAAGCTAGAAAGACACTTGAGATGGTATGTTTGGTGGTGGTTCCATGTGTTGGTTTACTAAATGTGTGTGTGTGTGAGAGAGAGAGAGAGAAGGGTTCTTTTGTCTTCTTGACCGTATTTTAATGTCGTTATAATAGCACACTACTTTAAGAATGTTGCCTACAGTATATATATGTATATACATAGTCAATGTTATTCTTTGTGAGTGGAAATGTGATATGTAATGTGGACTTTATTGGATTCTTTTCTGACTATGAGATTGATGTGGTCAGGAGGATGATTCCTTTTCTTCTTGCAATCTCTTTTCATATTTGCCATTTCCTTTTGCATTTGCTCTCCTTCTTCACTCAACCAATTAAAACAGTACCCGAGTTTTGAATAATGAGACATTCCATATTATTTTTTGATTGGTATACAAATTAAGAAACAGTAAAGTAAAAAAAATAACACCACTCAATAAAATCTGATCTGAATAATCTTAATAAAGCTTAATTCATACCAAAAATTTTAGATAATCTGTGATCTCAAAACTACTCATTAAACCCAAAATCGAGATAAGCAATACTATTAGGATATAATTTATTAACCACTGGGGGTAACTCATACCTGAAGACATAGTACAATGTGAATGATTTTAAAAAGAATATTAGTGACCGTTTGATGAGTTTATTTAAAACAGTTAGATGAACTTATTGAAATCTACCCTGTTTTATATTATAGATAACTATTAGATTGACTGTGGGTTTAATTAAATATAGAACTTGGTGTTTATTTAATGATAACAATGAAGTCATATCATTAAATCAACCGATTATATCAGATTTTCAAGTCTCAATAGCATTACTCAATCGAGATTGCACCATTATGTGGTCAAATTATTCCGGAACCACTTGTGGAAGATTGCACGTTTAAGGGGTGCTCAAAATGGGTGTCATTGCTAAGCACTTTCATGAGTGGAGAGAAAACTTGATAAAGTGAAGTCTAATTTAATTGGCTAAACAAAATCGTATGTTTTTTTTTTCTCCTTTTGTAAGTTTTATTTCCTTTTTTTCCCTTAGTAATCTTCTTCCCCTTTTGTAAATGGTGATGTGAGTGTGGTAGGTTTTCCATTTTTGCACTTCAGTGGTTGTTAAAGCTTGACCTGATCAGTTGCATGACCTGTGAATGAAATTACTTGTCAAGAAAGTAATCTAACCATGAAAATACAAGAGAAAGTGGATCCCATCGAGGAATGCTGACTAAGTAAATAGAACCACAAAGAAAATGAAAGAGGGCTGAAGTGAGAGGGACAAAAGAAACTGGAGATGGGAGGCCAGTTAATGGGCTTTGTGAGATGGAAATTAATTCCTCCGTTTGGATTAACACAGAATGTTTTAGAGCTATGAACAAGGCTCGGAGATTACAATTCGAATCATGGAAAAAATATTTTGCGAGGTAGATGCACGGGATATTTCCTGCAATAGTTCAAGAAAGTGACCTCCAAGTTAGTAAATTTGAAACAACAGAGTCAGAAAAAGGGGGTCAGGTGAACGTCTGACTTATCCCTCTAAAACTTAAGTCAGTCTAAGATCGAGGGTTTCAACTCAATGAATAGTCTTTTTTTGGTTTGATTTTACGTACCTTTGTCCATTTAATGTCTGACATGCCATCCCTCGCGCAATGAGTTGTCCCCACTCACGTTTTCTCTTATTAAATGCTAGGATGACGGGACGAGTGCTCGGCCAAATACCGAACATTTATGTCCTTCCCCAAGTATCCACATCCCTCAGATCGACATCTGACATTGACAACTGAGCATTGAATACTCGGAAAAAATAGTTTTTCGGAGAGAGCCGATCAAATCATCTCGGCGTATTAGCCATTAATGCCTAGACATTATGATGGTAGGCCTAAACTCCTAGAGTGCAGGTGCACATTTATTAGTCTTGTCATCGTCACTCATTCTGTCATAAAATGAGAGGTCACGTCGTATTAAATACGATGTCAGTTGTCATACTCGACTCTTCTGAGTCACCATATCTCGGCTTATTTTTTCGGTGACCGTTGGACATCACAACAGCTTCATTATTTCACATGTCAGTCTAGGGGCTGTAGAGCCATCTAGACTCCTACCATTAGATAAAATTGTGTGTCTCTAATTCTTCTAAATCCCATAATGACAAAAATCTTATGCATCGTATAATTAAGCAATGCACTTTTTAGGAATTTTTTTTTATAACTTTTGATGATTATTTTAGGGTAACTTGTGATTGATCTTAAAAAATTTATAATTGATCATAATATTTTTAGGATGAATCGTTAGTTATCACAAAAATTATAATTTAGTCCAAAAAATTATAATTCAAATTTTAAAAATTATATTTTTTTAATTATAAACAAATCTCAAAATTTTAATCAAAACCACAAAAAATTTAAAATTTAAATGTATTATGATATGTTATCACAATTTTCTTTTTAGTATCATATTAAAAAAATTATAAAATTTAAATGTATGGTATTACAATTTTATTTTAGATTTGTATTGTATCAAAATTATTTTTTGAGTAATATTATATAATTCAAATAAAATTTAAAAAAATTACAACTTAAATATATATATATCATTTTTTAGATGAATGAATCGTATCAATTTTTATAATTGAGTCTATTCATCTTAGACTTCCCTAAAAATTGATATACAATTAAATTTTAATTTTTAAATTGTATTCGGATTATATAGGGTTTTTCTTATTTTTTAGGGTACCGTTAATCTTGTCCTATATTCCCTGGATTACGTCAATCCAACCGCCCAAAGTTGTGGCGGCGACTCGCATTCCAAGCCCATTTCCGAGAGAGGGAGAGAAACGCACACAACAAAGTGTAGACGTGGCGGTGGATAAGGCCGTGGGGCCCATTGGACCTGCATCACTTAAAATTAAAACCAACAAAAGGCCGAAACGTGTCATCACAGTAGGCGCTGGAAGAAGAATAATTACTTTTGCGAGAAGGGTCAGTGGACCCCAACAGAGTGTGGCCTTGTCTAATTTTAGTCGTCCAACTAGAGAATCCGCCGTGATGATTTGATGGACGATGTTAAGTGATCGTCCTTTTTTGGAACATGGCGCTGGTGCGTTACATCTCAGCGTGGAGAAATTTATTTTTGTGTAATAATGCTAAGAGCTTACTAATTTTTTTTTTTTAACCAAATTCAAAATAAATGAACCTATAAATATTCAGCAGAGGGCTGTATATGGATCGAGTTGGTCCACGGAATTCTTTTTTTGGGTTAAAATTTTATAAGTTAGTCCACGCATACCCAATATCCTTCAAAAACTTGGGTTTGCCCTCAAGTTTATTACTTGTCTCGAAACTCTGTTAATTAGTCTGCTTACAAAAAATCATTAAATTTTGACCCACGAACCCACATGTCGTCCACCCACTTTGTTTGAAAACAAAATTGATCAATGAAAGTTAAATATACGTGAATTAAGCATACTTTGTATGTATCCATATTTACGTATAAACGTACATATTTTAAATGATAGAGTTGTGTATATGATAAATAGGTGGATAGATAGGGTTATTAACCAAACCGAGCTACTCGAGCTCGGCTCGTGTTCACCTTATTTTTGATTTGTTCAAGTTCAACTCATGTTCGCCTCATTTTTCGCTCTTCAAGCTCGGCTTGTGTTCACCTCATTTTTTGCTCCATCAAGTTCGGCTTGTGTTCATCTTATTTTTGGCTCATTCAAATTTAGCTCTTTTTTTGAACGAGTTGAACTTGAATAATTTTTTTAACTCGTTTGAAAAACAAGTCTGACAGACTCGATATAAACTTGACAAGTTCTACTCGTTTATATGTAAATACTAAGGCTTGGTTCATTTTGTGCTCGTTCAAACTCGACTCATTTTGAACAATATTTTATATTCGATTAATAAAATAAGCTTTTTAGGCTTGATTCAAACTCATTCAACTATTAGCCCTATAGATAGGTGTCAGTCTAGTTAAGATGTGATCATTCTATTGTAACACAATTTCTCTCATATTTATAAATAAAATTATTCATTATATTTTTTTTGTCCATTTTAACTCTACTTTAAATTTTAAAATATAATTTACAAAAATACTAAATTAATTTTTTTTAAATGAAGATAGGGGATGAGTTGAGTTGGATTGCGGTTATGTATATAAAGCCCGTCTGCAAAACCCTCCCAATAGACCTGTCCAATAGGTGATGAGTTGGATTGCGGATAATCTATTCCTATCAGAAGTCAACCTGTCTGGTACGCCACCTGGATAAGGGCTTGGACCTACCTACTCAGACCCGACCTAAAAAAAATACACGGGACTAACCCATTTAGGCCCATGAACACCACTAGTGATAATTGTGACCCCGCATTTTGTAGAACAATCTCATAGATCATAAACATATATGAGACACACAATGTGACCGAGAAATGTGGAATACATAGATAATAAATTATTATAATTCTTAATAAATTATAGTTCCTCATTCAATTGTCAAAGAAATTATTGAAAACGTATAGTAACTGGACGATGTCACAGTTTTAAAAACTTGTTGTCTGTTACTGTTGAAAATAGTGAGTATCTTATGTCTACTAAGTCTAAAAAATAATAAGTTAATGGGGACGTGCTTTTATCACGAGTATGTTGGTTATCAATATAAATTTGGTAGAGGAGTTTTATTAGAATTGGGTTTATAAAATTTATTAGGTTAAATTATTTAGTTGTACCAAAGTTAGGGTTATTAGCGGATATCATAAATCTAGAGTTCTTGTTCTTGCTTATTTCGTTCTTGATGTTCACTGCAACAGTTTTATTCTCTTCTTGAATTCAAGAATAATAATATAACAAAAAAAAATACAACTAGTGTACTAGAGTGGACGATACCTCAAAAATATTATTTCTTGCACAT